CATGCTTGTTTCTTTTGTCGGCGGCCTCAAGCAGAGGAGCTCTTCTGGCCTGCTGCGCTTGTCGAGGTAGGCGATTGTGAAACATGGATGGGTGATCGGAGGTGAAGCCGGCGAGTAGAGGAGTGTGACGCAGCAGGAGTGAGGTGCCATAGATAGTGAGTTTGTGAGCGGAGGATCGGGAGGATTTCGCGGAGAGAGATTGAAGTGTCTGTTGCATGCTGACGGTTGCTTCTTTATGGTTTGCCAGTGCAATGAAGCATGAAGCAAGCAAGGCTTTCGAGGGACGTGCGGAGCGGAGAGCAAACGGCACGACAGGTAGAGGTCCGCAGTTGCCTGATCGTGAGAAACAAGACAATCAAAGTCGGTTTGCATGGAGTCATGACCGGTCACACACGAAGAAAAGGCAGGCAGATGTCGCAGGAAACGAGATCGAGATCGCGAGGGCATCCAAGTTAGTCGACCAGACAGCCAAAAGCTTGTCGTTGCGCAAGAGAGAGGCTGAGCTGAAGGAGGCTGAGGTCACAGGAGACGAGATCGAGATCGCAGACGCCCTCCTGAGAGTCAGGGAGGCAGAGCTGGAGGAGGCTGAGGTCACAGGAGACGAGATCGAGATCGCGAAGGCACGCAAGTTAGTCAACAAGGCATGGCTAAGCTTGTCGTTGCGCAAGAGAGAGGCTGAGCTGGAGGAGGCTGAGGTCACAGGAGACGAGATCGAGATCCTCAAGGCACGAATCAGGGTCAGGGAGGCAGAGCTGGAGGAGGCTGAGGTCACAGGAGACGAGATCGAGATCCTCAAGGCACGAATCAGGGTCAGGGAGGCTGAGCTGGAGGTGGCTGAGGTCACAGGAGACGAGATCGAGATCCTCAAGGCACGAATCAGGGTCAGGGAGGCAGAGCTGGAGGAGGCTGAGGTCACAGGAGACGAGATCGAGATCCTCAAGGCACGAATCAGGGTCAGGGAGGCAGAGCTGGAGGAGGCTGAGGTCACAGGAGACGAGATCGAGATCCTCAAGGCACGAATCAGGGTCAGGGAGGCAGAGCTGGAGGAGGCTGAGGTCACAGGAGACGAGATCGAGATCGCAGAGGCCCTTCTTGCCCTCAGGATGGCAGAGCTGGAGGAGGTTTGGCTGAGAGGAGGCCAGATAAAGTTCGAAAGGGCAGTCGAGCTAGCCAGGCAGGCAAGCATAAGCTTGTCGTTGCTCAGGAGGACGGCAGAGCTGAAGGAGATTGAGGACACAGGAGACGAGATCGAGATCGCAAAGGCGCGTTCCAGACTGACACAAGCAGAGCTTGACGAGGCGAAGATCAAAGGAGACAAGATTAAGATTGCAGGGGCATATCTCAAGTACAGGAAGACATACCTCGATATGATTCAAGTCACAGGAGACGAGATCAAGATCGCAGACGCCCTCCTGACAGTCAGGAAGGCAGAGCTGAGGGAGGCTGAGGACACAGGAGACGAGATCGAGATCGCGAGGGCACGCAAGTTAGTCGACCAGGCATGGCTAAGCTACTTTGTGCGCACGAGAGAGGCTGAGCTGAAGAAAGCTGAGACACAGGAGACGAGATCAAGATCGCAGACGCCCTTCTTGGGCTCAGATGGCAGAGCTGAAGAGCTGAGACACAGGAGACGAGATCGAGATCGCGAGGGCATCCAAGTTAGTCGACC